AGGAGAGGTCTGCCAGGCCATGTGGTCACCTCCGGGGCAGGCGGGAATCGAACTCATGCGGAAGCGGCTTTAGCTTCTCAGTGCAGTGCTTTAACCCACTGCACCACCAGAGAGGGCCACATGTAACATCATTTTAAAAATATCAAATATAAAACAGTGGGATCTGGGTTGAATTTGCACAGAGACATTGTGCTCTTGGACGAGCCTAGGCTGTCCCACCATCCTTCTTAAGGCATTGTGTGCAGATGGTCAACACAGTATTATTAGTTCTAATAAGAACTGATGCCAAAGATGAAACCAACCTTCTAGGTCTGAATGTAAAGTAGGAGTGTTCCTCTCCAAAATCCTACCTAGGAAAATAAATTGCATTTTGAAGCACTGTAGTTTGTATAATAAGCTACTATTCAGGAAGATAGTCTGAAAAATTAATAATGATTCTGCAGCCTTCATGGGTGCTTTGACAGGATCTGTAAAAAAAAAGGAGGCAGTGACATTTTACACATTGATTTGGAAATATTTCTGGGGGCACAGCTTCATAATTGCAATTGTTGGGTATTATGAGTGAGTCTTAAAAGATGACTTCAAACAGTAGTATTTCTCAACCTATGGCTTTTTTTAAAAAAAAGATTTCCTACTTCTTGCTGACTGATATTTTTGTAAAATACAATTAAAGTTACTTGAAAAATGATAATGGAAAATCCCTACAAAATAGAAACTGAAATTTAAGTAATAAAATGACTGTGAATATCTATGAACATTTCTAAAGCATTCTTTTAATTTGTGCCACGCATAGTTTTTATGTGGCATTGACCACAAGCCTTACTTTGAGTGTCACTGTGCAAACGGTCATGTTGTAGAAGCCACCGATTAATAATACAGGATGGTAGAAAAAAAGAAAAGTGTTATTTAATAGTCTGAAAAGTGTTATGGGGGCAAGAGAATGGTTGTTAGGTGTGCTGTAAGGCAGAGTTTAGCTCAGAATGGCTAAATGGTTTCATTTTCCTGTAGCAGACTTGGGTGGCCACGTGCACAGCCTTCGGAACCCAGTGGACCTTGTTAGAATACTAGCTGACTCACAAGCAGCTGTGACGCTGTGACCAAGACCATACAATCAGCAATGCCTAAAATATTTACCCTGGTTCTTTATGAAGGATTTGCCAACTCCTGCTTTAGAATTGGAAATAATAGTTAAGAATAATTGCTATTTAAAGCATGCATTTTTCTCTTTTTCTGATTATATTATCATTGTTTTGCAATATTGTTGTTTGGGTTCTTCCCCTCTAGTCACTGATGTATCTCAGATAAACTCGGAGAGAAATACAGAAAATGAGTGGTTCAGTAAAAAACAAAAGAAGAAGAAAAAAAAGGATTACCAACCCAATTATTTCCTATCCATTCCTATCACCAACAAAGAGGTACTGTTTTCTTTAAAACTAATGTTACTGGTTTTATTCTCAATTATGTTTAACTGCTAAATGCTTGTAAACCTCATTAGTACTCAGCTTTTAAGAGTCTCTGGTAGCATCTTAGCTGAACCATATAGGGAGTTGTCCTACTTAAATAACAGAATATATTGAAACAATAATTCTGAAAATATTTAAACCATCACATTTAAACAGTAAGTTTTAAAAATCCACTTGAAAAAGTATTGCCAAATGGCATGTCCACGTTCTTTCTAAGCATGTGTTCCCTGTAGGAGGATGCATGAAGAATGAAAGAACAGTGACTAGCTAGGTAAAGAATTCTGAAGTCTGTTGGGAAAAT